AAAGATCAGCAATAAAAATAATATTTTTAAAATGTACAACAACACCTATTTCTTCGCTGCCCGTCTCTTCTTTGTCAAGCAAGTTGCCTGGAAATGCTAAAGCCAGGACTGAACCCAGATGGGAAATTTCATTCATTACGTGCTTCTGGAGAAAATGGCCTGTTACCTACAATAGAGGTGCATTTGCATCTTTGTTAAGCTTCAAGAAAAACAGTAGCAATGTCTACATATATACATACATACATACATGTATGTTTGTACGTACGTATGTACGCATAAAAGAAGTGATGTGACTCGTCTAAAAGAGATATTTCTTTTGTAAGGTTGAATGCTTGATATTCTTAAATTCTGACTATAAACTCTCTCTCTCTCTCTCTCTCTCCAACTTCTTGTTGTTTTGGGGGTGTGTTTTCAATGCTAATGACTGTTTTTTTTTGCTTCCAAGGTTTCTTGTTAATTCAAGTACCAACATTTAATAAAGAATCAAGGGTAAAATAAATACAAGAGTCTTTACAATAATTTTTTAATTATAGATAAAATAGTTAAGACTGCTATTTAAATTTATTTTTACATGTATTTAAAATAATTTAATTATATAATTTAATATTTTATTTAAAACATAAAAATTATAATAAGTTATAAATTAAATTCAAGTTCCACACATGAAATTAAATTAAAATTCACGATGTGTTAGCAAACAAGCTCTAAAAATACCGAGACAATAAGTATTCGCGACAGTTTTCTGTTTTTTATTTTTTATTTTTATCTTTAGAAGATCTTAGTTTCATTTATTTTTTATTTTTGCCATTTGATCTGGTAAAAACAGAAATACAATTAAATACTTTACCTTATCTTGTTTCATTACTTTTTTGCAATCACAACATTTACTGTCCATCTTCTGCCCTTCCTATTCCGGACTGCCATATTCAGCTAAAAAAATTCCATGCCAACAGACGGAGGCTATCTCAGTAATTTCCACGAAGGGATCCGGAAAAGTTACGGTACAACCCTAGATTCCAACGCTCTGCTGTCCACTACATATTTTGACAGGGTCATATTTGCCCCATCTTCTCCCTCCCCACCCCCCTCTATCTTTTCCACTGCAGAACAAATCAAAGCAGACAAGCTCGACACCCTCTTTCGCTCTCCAATCCTCGCTTCCCGTGTTAGTCTCTCTCCCTCTCTCTCAATCTCCCCTTCCTTTAAATCTCCTTTGATTTAAATATGTTGCGTAATTATTACTATTAAACTGCTAGTTACTGAAATCCCAGATCTATTATTACCACTAAAGACACAATCTTTTTTATTTTCTTGTTCATCTTAATCACATAAAAAACTGTCCTTTTTTAATTTTTAGTTGGTTTTTATGTATCTGCAGTTAAAGGGGGTTGCTTTCTCTGTTTTTTCTTGTTCCTTTTGCTGCTACTACTAACAATGGCTGGTCAAAGGAATGACTACGGCAAAAGATCACAGCACTCACAATCTGATTATGGCGGGGGTAAAAGAAGAAACCCCGGAGATGACCCTTCTGACCAGAATACGATTACTAATGAAGATACAGTCTATCGTTATTTATGCCCCTTGAGAAAGATTGGCAGTATTATTGGTAAAGGTGGAGAGATTGCTAAGCAATTAAGGGCGGATAGTAAGTCAAATATTAGGATTAGTGAGGCAATGCCGGGTTATGATGAGCGAATTGTTACTATTTATAGTTCGAGTGAAGAAACTAATCTTTTTGGAGAAACTGGCGAGTATGTTTGTCCTGCTCAAGATGCGCTTTTTATGGTTCATGATAGGGTTATTGCTGAGGACTTGAACAATGCTGCTGCCGAGGAGGAGGAGGGAGAGGATAATTTTGGGGAGGTACAGCAAGTTACGGCGAGAATGCTTGTGCCAGCGGATCAAATTGGGTGCGTTATTGGGAAGGGCGGACAAGTTATTCAGAATATAAGGAGTGAGACTTGTGCCCAGATTCGGATTACGAAGGATGATCATTTACCTCCTTTAGCTTTGAGTATCGATGAACTCCTCCTGGTAAGGGGTTTCTTAAGTTTTTGTTTTTCTTGCTAGTGTACTATACCGGAACTTAAATTCTTATTGAGCTTTATTTAAAACAAGAAGACAACAAAAGAATGAACCTGTGTGCTTTCACTGTCGATGGCGGAGCTGTTTGAATTTAATTTCTATTATAAACATGTTTTCTTTTTGTGACCTTATTACTAATGCAGCATGTTGTGTCTACCAATAATAACAGTTGAATACCTGGGCATGCGATTTTCTTTTCCAGATTTTAAAAAAGCAAACATAAATTCTGAACCAAATCTCTAGTGTTGTTTGCTAGTGAATTTGTCAGTTCATCTCAAACATGCTTTTCAAGATGACTTGCTATCACAGCAGTAGCTGTTGGATGCTGATGTATTTTCTGAGAGAAGTGAACTTTTGATAAAATACAGATTCATGGAGAACCCTCTGCTGTGAGAAAGGCACTTTACCAAGTGGCAACCCGCCTTCACGAGAATCCATCTCGGTCACAGCACTTGATACTGTCTTCTTCAGCCAACATGCATGGTGGCATGTTTGTGACTGCAAATGCTGGAGCTCCTGTTTTGGGTCTATACGGCAACTATAAAGGTGGTTGGTCATCATCATTTTACCCTGACCAGAGAGATGAATCTTCTGCGAAAGAATTCTCTCTTCGTTTAGTGTGTCCCACTGCAAACATTGGAGGTGTGATTGGGAAAGGTGGTGGTATTATCAAACAAATTCGCCAGGAATCTAGGGCTTCTATTAAAGTTGACAGCTCAGGTGCTGAGGGAGATGATTGCATAATATTTATATCAGCAAAGGAGGTGAGCATGCTATTCTTATTTTACAGGCCCTCTACGGTTTTCTTTGTGAAGCACTCTTGATGGAATTCTGTATTGTTGATGATCTAACCATTTTCCTTTTAGTTCTTTGAAGATCAATCTCCAACCATGAATGCAGCATTGCGCTTGCAACCACGGTGCAGTGACAAAACTGAAAAGGAATCTGGTGATTCTGTAATCACCACCCGCCTGCTTGTGGGAAGATCACAAATTGGATGTCTTATGGGAAAAGGTGGGGCAATTATTTCAGAAATGAGGAATCTAACAAGGGCAAACATCCGGATTATTTCCGATGACAATCTTCCTAAGGTTGCTGGTGAAGATGATGAGATGGTGCAGGTGAATATTTATAATTTTAATAGTGTGCAAGTGTTTTGACCCTGCTATTTGTGTCATGTGTTGCTCAATTTATTTTGGTTTTTTTGGCATATTTGGTCCAACCTTTGTAACGCCACGGAGATTATGTTTTTTAATGCTGACTAGATCACCGGAAGCCTTGAAGTCGCTAGCAATGCTCTTTTACAAGTGATTTTGAGGTTGAAAGCCAATTTATTTGGAAGGGATGGAGCACTAACTGCATTTCCACCAGCACTTCCATATATTCCTATGTCACTAGATACATCAGATGGTTCAAAATACGGAGGCCGAGACAGTCAATCACGCGGACGTGGTTACACTTCTTCCTCTAGTGGATATGGATCTCGTGATGCGCACCCAAGTGATAGTTATGGAAGTAATGTAGGATCACTGGTATTTTATCTTTGCATATGTGTGTGTAGAGGGAACTTTCTTTTGGACATCTGTGGATCAGTAACCGTGTCTATGTTATTATTGCCTCTCATGAAGTTTTATGTGATTGTTCTTTCAGATTGGCGGTGAAAGCAGTTATGGAGCATATGGTGGCTTCTCATCTGGTCGTTCTGGTGGTGCCGGGTAAGATTTCTTCTGTTTGAAACTTTTTTGCTCAAGTTTTATTTTAATGCTGGTGCAATTTATTATTGTTAAATTTTTCTATTGTTTCTTAAAGTGAAATGTATTTGGAGATCTTCATCCATTACCAATATTGATAATCTCTCCCTCGCTTGATTCTTCTTAACTTCTGCTACCAGGTTATCTGGTCAGAATCCTGTTTCCCAAAGAAAACATCATGGGTATTAATCCTGTATTCTAGGGCCAACAGGTAGATAATTTTCCATCCTCTCTTTCTTATCCTTATTATTCAATACGCGTGCTGCTTTCTGTTTTCTTTGTGATTGAAGAGGACATAACTACACATTGATATCTAACCCAGCCATCCTAGTTTTTAGAATTCTAATGCACCTTTTTGCCTCTGTTGCCTTCCCTGTACAATCCAAACAGCAGTGATCTGCAAATCCTGATGCCGCCCTTTGCCCTTTGATGAAGCCTTCAGCCTAAGATACAAAAGATCAGATGAACAGGCCTTGACAAAACTGTGCTTCACCTTGGCCCACCCTCAGATGCTTTATTTTGGATATCTGTTGATGCAATTCACCATTCAATCATTTGAGGACCTTGACACCAGTAACTATCAAAGCTTATATTGTGCTCTAGATGGATAGCCCATCAGCATGCTTATGTGTAACAATAATAATATCTATTTCCCTGTAAAAGATGTGAGATTGGCACTCACAAACTTGTGTCACTGGTTTTATGAGGGAAAATTTTTTATAACTGAATTCTGAAAGTATATGCTTGTATTAGTTATCAATCTGTGTGTGGCTTGACAGATTATGGCAAGGGCCCGGAAAACTTTAGGTTCTGTAATCTGGACGGTGCTTTACCATCTCGTCATGGTGCAGTCATTCTTTTATTTCAATTTACTTTTATTTTCAAGTTTGTGATTGTTATCTCTGTGGCCATGGGTTGCCACTACCTTTATGGTTGGAAGGGAACTCGTGGATGTCCTCCATTTATTCAAATTTTGATTTAATCTCTAATATTTTGCATCTCAATTTTTTATGTGATTTGGAAGAATACCGCGTGGAAATATCGATATGAAAATTTTCTAATATTTCAAATTTGCTTTGAAGGCAAATCTCTTGATGGTCTGTGTTCAGGCTTGTCCCATAAGCCGTGGGAAAATCACAATGGGGCTATTAGTTTAGCTGGGAGGTAGTTGTATGCATCCCTCTTTGAGCTGATTCACCAATTACTGGCATGGTGAAGATAAATCAGCTTGAGGGGTAGGCATGTTCTCTACTTTCATCTTAGTGTTCTTGTCCATTAGCCTTGGATGGATGGATTGAAGTCCTTTGTGTAATTAACGTGGCAGGTTTGATGCATCAACAGTTTTCATTTACATCACCAGCAGGTATGTTTCTCTGCTCCTAGTTTATAGTAAACAGGATGTTTGTCCAAGTCATGACTTGGCTATCTTATTGGTAATCAGTAAGCTGGCTGCTCCTGTATAATAATTCAATAATTGAAAGATGGTAAGGCATGATGTGTGCAGCAATTGAAGGTGGACAAATAGACAGAAGTGTAATTTTCCCAATCGGGCACTATATCCATATTCTTTTATGGCACAGGTACTTCACCTCATCTCATGTATGGAAACAGACCCAGGAAACTAGTGAAACTGCTGTATTTTTGGATGTTCACTGGTGTGATTACAATGTTGAGCAATCACCATGTTATTTGATAGGAACATAATATAACAAATATCACTGTTGAATACAGGAATACCTGAAATCATGTATGCTTATCAGTTGTATTTGGAATAGTTTTATTTCTGTGTTTGCATTAGACCGGGTTTCTTAAGTCTAATGAAAGCTCACTCTTCAAACTTTTGATTTCTTGTGTTATATTGTGTTTCAGCATGGCAGAAGGTATCTGATTCTTGTTTGGTCTACATTCACACCTCTGCATTGTGGTTAAATATGTGTGTATATATAGGAGGTTGATGTGATTGGAGCTTTTGGGGCCGAATTTGAGTAATTGATTTGATAGTGCGGTGCATTGAATTAGCTCGAAAGTAATGTGGAGAATTAACTTGTGTTTTGCTTGTATAGTGAATGGTGAGGAATTGTTTCTGCTGCCGTTCTCCTGAATTTCTCCTTTTAATTGGCGTGTAGTATCTGTTCAGCTAGGATTTTATCATTAATTAGATGTTTGTATAGATGATTCTATCGTGATTGTTGTATAGCCGAATGAGTCTATTCTCTCCCGCCATTCAATCTTCGCACCTATTTTTTTTGCCTTGATCAAACATTGGACACAGGTCACAGCTACGCCAACAACCTTGGCTGTGGTTTGTGGCTGTGGTTGAACGCCAACACAGGTCACATTAGCGTATCCGGTTTGTGGCTGTGGTTGTACGCCAGTGTACACACATCCCCTATGTTCAAGATTTCAGTAATCAAGAATCATCTAGGTGGTAGCCAAGTAGTAAGACTTGGGATCAAGGAATTTGTTTCTCTGTGATTTCAGGTTCGAGTCCTTAGTTCTAGATGGTAGCCAAGTGGTAAGGATTTAGGATCAAGGAGTTTGCTCCCTCTTGGTTGCTCATATGATGGTCACTGGAGACTTATATGGTCGTTAATTTCAAGGCTTGTGGGATTAGTCGTAGTGCGCGCAAGCTGGCCCGAACACTTATATTAATCTTAAAAAAAGATTTAAGTAATCAAGAAGTTCTCCCTTCATCAAAATTTGTGTTTTTATTTACCAGCAACGCATGCACGTTGTAGGCCATCAAAATTAAGTAATCGTGGTGCGTGCAAGTTGGTCCGAACACTCATATTAATCTTAAAAAAAAACTTCAGTAATCAATAAGTTCTCCCTTATCAAAAGTTGTGTTTTTATTAACCAGCAACGTATGCACGTTGTAGGCCATCAAAATTAAGTGGTTATTCAATGATACAATCCGCTAGGGCGACTAAAGTACGTGCCTGTTCTGACCCGAATCAAGCGTCCATTAACATTTTTCCAATATTTTATTCAATGGTTAATGACACTATTTGGGTACAAATATAGAAGGAAGGAAAAGCCAAAAGGATCCATTGTAAGATGTATTATTGTCGAATGACTAATATTAGCACGACGATCCAATGCTTTACTTCCTGCATTAGCACATCGTATGCCTACAATCATGGTTTCTGAAATCTTATTTTTCTGGGAATATAAAGTGACAAAGGGTGCCAGCATGAATAAATTAAACTGCAACTAGGCATTGCAGGTTTGAACACCACGAGCAGAGTTCTTATCGTCTCCACCGTAGCAGGTTTGATCTTCAGGAGCTGAGTTCTTATCGTCTCCACCTTGTGGTTGGCAGTTCTCATGCTCAGGAGATGCGTCATTACTGCCATCCTCTGCTGCAAATAAAATGAAATTAGTAGAAGTAGATACAGTAAGTGGGCAAATATAGGCAAGGATTGCACGTGGTTCTGCAAGATACCATCATCATCGTCTGCAGGAGCATAAACTGAGCGCCTTGAACGCATTTGGTGTTGCGGAGTGGGCTGAAACAGGAAAAAAAAAACAAGATTTAACAGGTGATGAGCCGTGTTATTGGGACGAAGTTCACTTGTTAAACGCTTCATTTTAGTCAATCCGGCTGGCTTAAAAAACAGGATTGGGTGGCAGGACATTGGTTAAATTCAATTCGAGATAGGATTATAGGACAACGATCATAGCATGCAACTGATCTTTTGACGAGGAATCCATTTCAAGGTGTAAACAGGAAGCATCGATACCTGAAGTTTTGGGCGGAGAGCTTCAAGCGGTCCTTTAGGTTTTTGAGCTCCTTGCTGTTGAACAAGTTGACAGACAGGTAAAAGAAAAAAAAAAACTTGGAATTTCAAACTCAACATTAGAGTTCTAAAGAATGACAACCATCAAAATTCTAGAAAAAAAATATTCAATTGACTACCTTTCCCAGTGCCCAATCAGCAGAATCAAAAAATGCTCGTTCATGATCCTAGAACAGGATGAAACTCGTTACTTGTTAGATAATTCAATTGAACTAACGAAGACAGATAGGAAATTAATGATAGTTACCTTAGATATCAACGGCTTCTTCTTTGATGACATTCCCCCGTATTTTTTCTTGATGATCTCCTCCTGCAAAATGTGTCAGAAGCTAAGTTTTGAAAAATGTTACATTTCGCTTAGCCTGCATATCAATGAAATCTTTATTTTTTCTCTCCAGGGCAAGCAGTTTGAGAGCCAATGAGTTTAGATTTGTGTCAAACGTGTAACCAAAACACAAAATTTTGTACAGCGCTCTCAAGATTGCCTTTTCTTATCCCGTTTGGTTATGTTACAAAGAAACAAATTATACCAAGATTCACACGACATTTGATGTGGCAAGTGACAATCCAAAACATCAGGTGATTAATCAAGTACGACAAGAAATACTTCGCGTATCAGTTTGTATAACTATAATATGACATTTGTTGATTTAGAACCCTTATGCCTTGGGAGATTATAAATTCTTGTCGCCAGCCAAACCAGAAGTGTGACGTAAAGAAGTTGCATTGCGATTTACCTCCTGCTCGGGTGAGAGCATGGGGTTTTCACCATTTTGATCCAATTCTTTTTGGTCACCATCGTTTTCGGCTGGATTTTTGGCAGCATCGTCACTGAACTCTTGCTCCTTTCCGTCCTCGATGCTCTTGCTTGACATTCTGTGTTTTGTAATAATAATAGTAATAATAATAATAAGAGAAAACATTGTGAGTTCCAAAGAAAAAAAAAAGCTTCGTCTAATCTTTAACTGTATACGATTGCCATAATTAAGTATAGCTTATAACCATACATATATTGTTACGTCTATGTATTCTAGCTCTAGAGAGTTGCTTTGGGTAGTGGCAAAGCACACCAATTAATAATAAAAAATAATTGAAGAGAAGAAAAAAGAGAAGAAAATCATCAATACTATTGGTCTTGATAATTAACTAATAAATGCTCGAGAATTGTATGGTAGAAAAAAAATGAATTTATTAAAAATATGAAATAGGCAATGTTCAAATGAAATTGAAGCAAAAGGAGCGTGCAGAAGTTGTTTTTTAGTTAGTTTAACATGTTTATTACCTGATAGTGATCGATGATCGGACCAGGAAGCTAGGATGGCGGCAGAGTATGCTACGGATACGGGTCTACCCGGATTCTGCTGTCTTATCCTATCAAAATAGCCTCAAGGCTACGCAATACGCAAAGAAGTTAGAACAGCGAATATCTCTCTCTTTTCCGTCAGTTCCCGATGCGGGAATAGGCCTGTCATGGGCCTTTGGTCCATGCATTATAATCTGTGGGCTCGTGGCTCTTTGTTTTAGGCCAATAGGCCCGATAAACCTTGCATTTTCTTTTTCCTTTTCTCTCTTTCTTTTTGTACATTTTGATTGTGTGCATGTATCATTGTGTTTTTGAAGCTTACTGGTTTGAACTATTTTTTAGTCCCGAAGAAATATTTGGGTTGATGAGCATGGTTCAAGAACCCTAAACAATATGCACCTTTTTGTGATGATCTTATCCTGTAAGCATTGGGATTATATCAAAGAATACATGGAGGAGGAAAGAGACCCTTTCGAGATCCTCTAAAAGGATTTGATGGCTGCCGACTGCTGGCTGCGGAAAGAAAGTAATGCCACCTGAGCTAGCTCGGAAGCATGAATAGCAACAAATCAGTAGTCATATTGATAAATATGCGTAATTAATTTTGAATATTGTTTAATTCGTCAGTTTTTAAATTTATTTTTTATAAATTATTAATGTTCAGTTTTTAAATTTATTTTTTATAAATTTTAAATTTAAATTTTAAAAATTTTAAATTTTTTAAAAACTTATATAATTATTAATTTCAAGATATATAGATTAGTCGAAGCATATAAAAATTAAACCGAATATTTATATTAATTAAAAAAAAAATTTTTAAAAATTTATATAATTATTAATTATCATTTTTTAATATGACATTTATCTTACACCCAGTAACTTTGAATTGTATCAATCTGACACAAACTTAAGGATTGATGGGCATTTTTAATTTTTTGTTTTTTTTTTAGATTAACGTGAATATCCGAGTCAGCTTATACGCATCATGACTAATTCCACGAACCTATATAATTAATTTTGAATATTGTTTCCCTTTCTTCTTCGCTAGACGGAAGGTTGATGAGGTTATAAGATATGAGTAGCCAAATCCCAATATTATACCACATCTTAATTCTGTTTTTTCCGGCTTAGAAAATTAACTCTTCCGATAAGGTAGAGGGGGGGTTATTCTAGGGCAAACGTTTACATTTTCCCCCTATCCCATGAACACTCTAGATATATTAAAATAACAACAACAATAATAATATGTATCTTGAATATTCCTCACACACACGCCCTGTGTTTCCAAAGTTTTACGTATACAACATAATAATCATGAATTAATGTGTACATCCATATCAAACAGGGGTTTTTTTTTTTAATTGTGAATTCTACTTTATGTGGAAATCTTGTTCTTTCTATTCACCTGTCTACCTTCCACTTCATCGAGAGTGAAGCCAAGATCACGAGGATTGTCTTTGCCATCTTTGGTACGGTATGGGCACTTATATTCTAATTAGCGAGGATCAGTAACTTTTTATAATTTAAAGAAATCAATCACTTTCTAATGAATTTAATTAATATCAACCGTGTAAAGGCAATGCTCGAACTTCTCACTGCTGGGCTTCAGCGGCAGCAGTCGTCGTAACCTAGGCACGCAAGGGGAATGCTAATGCTAATTGGTCGGCAATCTGTCAAAAATTCAATAACTTTTGTGAGCGAATCTCTGGTTCTTTTGCCTCATTAATTACGATTATGCTGATAATCATCACATCAGCTGCTCTCTGTCGGGGCACTAATGGATTACAGGAAGGATGCATGTATCCGTGTCATTATAATTTTTTTATTTGAGCATGTGTATCTATAGTTCTTAATTACTGTATTGTAAGATGTAGTCACTGATAATATTCAGAACTAATCTATGATATGAAACTATATTGTAAGATGTAGTCACTGATAATTTTCAGAACTAATCTATGATATGAAACTATTGTGTTGTGTCCAGCCACGTGATCGATGTCTAATGGAGCCTACGGCTACAATTCATCGGGGGCATAGGCATTTTCTAGTTACCTTGAATGCCTCTACAGTTCGCTATCTTTTCAAAACGATCTCAATTTTCTATGTTCAGAACAAATTATGTAACATCTTACGAAATAGTTTGTTTAATCGGAGGTAAAGAGTACTTTAACTAAAGCAATTTTGAAAATTGTGGTTGGATGTTCTAATTAACCGACTATACAACAGCTGGACTTGTTTATTTCACTAGTATAATAGATGCATGTGAACAGCACAGTTCAAAGTCGGACCTGCCAGCATTGGCAACTTAAAAGTGCTGAAATGGTTATAACTTGAGCCTAGTTCCAATTTATATCCACCAACATATAAAGATTAATGACTGTATTTATACCACAGCATTTCCTGTGCTAGCCCGAATTCTTGCAGAATATTTAAAGCTGCTAACAACTCAAGTTTGAGAGACTGCAATGGCTGCAGCAGCGTTCAATAACGTTGCAGCGTGGATCTTGCTAGCCTTAGCAGTAGCTTTAGCTGGTAATGGTAATGGTGGTGAACACAAAAGATCTTTAATATCAATTTGGGTAGTCGTCTCAGGTGTTGCCTTTGTTGCATTCATGTTAATTGTGATCCGACCTGCCGTGAAATGGATTGCTCGAAGATGCTCCCCAGAACATGACATGTTAGATGAAGCTTATATCTGCCTGACACTGGCTGGGGTTATGGTATCAGGACTCATGACCGACCTTATAGCCATCCATTCTATTTTTGGTGCATTTGGTTTTGGACTAACTATCCCTGAAGGTGAATTTGCTGAGACATTGATGGAGAGGATTGAAGACTTTGTTTCGGGTCTGCTTCTTCCACTTTGCTTCTAGTGGATTAAAGACTGATGTGGCTACAATTCTCGGGGGAAGGTCATGGGGACTTTTGGTGCTGGTTATTACTACAGGCTGTGCAGGGAAGAATATCGGGACGTTTGTGGTGGCAATGATGCTTATGATTCCAGCTTAGGTCCAGAAAAACCTAAGCTGTTGTGCAATATTGGAGGCCATGACCTTTCATTTTTGTCCTGCAATTATAACAAAAATGAAAGAAACGACAACTCCACAGTAAGCAAGTGTTTTTTTTTTTTTGGTGATGAAGGAAGAAGCAAGATAGCGCTGACAGGAGAGATAAAGATAACGAATATATAAATAGCGTTTGATTAATGTTTTAGAATATAAAAGATAAAAATGGTAGTAATAAAAATATGTTTACTTGAATAAATGAAAATAAAAATATAAAAAATATGTTATTATAATAATTTTAAAGTAAATTTAAGTATTTTGAAAATAAAACTAAAAAAAAATGTATATCAAGATAATTTTTATTTCAAAAGTATTCTTATAAAGAATTTTTAATTAAAAAATTATACAACTAAAATATATAAAGATAAAATTAGTTATTATTATAATTTTAAAAATCAACTTGTAGTAAGCCTCAAGATAGTTTTTTTAAATAAGCGAATCGATATTGTTTTGATACAAAAATCATAAAAAAAATCAATAAATTTTTTATTTAAATTTTTACCCTGCTTGATAAGATTGCATGTCACTTTGGGTTTTTTATCAAGTCAGATTATGTTATTTTTTTTTATTTTCTTTTAAGTTTGAATTAATTAATATCCCAAGTCGATGATATTTTGACTTAACTCACGAGTACAATCTAAATTTTATAATTAAGGTTATTATATTATTAATAATTTCAACATGTAGGATGGAGGGATGATGAATCTATTTGATATATTATTATTAAATATAATTATGGTTATATCTCTTATTTTATCTTATCTTTTATGTATTTATTTTTTGTGTATTTTTTATCTTAAAATATAATATTCAAATACTGCTATAAGAAAAATGTTTTTCTATATTTTTATTTTAGAAATATATAAATTCACTTTATCATGACACATTTATTTTATATTTATGTCTCTTCTTTTTAATTAAACATTTATGTTATATATACACACACGCGCGCTCCAAACGCTAACTAAATGATGTTGTTCATGCAATGAAGGAGTGGAGGAAGAGCAGGAGTAATTTAATTTAGTACAGTAGTTAATTACATTTTTGAAAAAACTGAATTCGATGTAATAACTAGGCATGTTGGAGTACAAATTCTAATAGGACAGGTCCGTGCTCATGACACATGATTTGTGGTTGTTCTAATCCACTATCATTCTCCTGCATCATATATATCTATATATAGACACACACACACACACACAACAATCTGGTAGAGAGAGATAGAGAGACGACAACAAAAGAAGAGCTGATATTCAAGATTGTTGATAAATGCTCATGTGACAACACTGGACTTGTTCTCTCCTAATATTGCCACAATATCGTCTA